ATTTAGTTAATTGCGATCGTTTAATAAACTACAAGCACGTAATTATCGATTTATATTTTATAGAAACCCCATTTATTGTGTTTCTGGTTGGGCGAGTCTTTCTCGAGGGAAAAAAAAAAAAAAAAAAAAAAGAAAAAAGAAAGAAAAGGGAAAAATAAGAAAACAAAAAAGAAGAAAAAGAAAAAGAAAAGAGAGAGAGAAACGAATGAGAGATAAGGGTCAGAGACCGAGCGAGCCATCGCATGCGCGAAAGGTAGCGAAATAATCTCTAAGGAAACATTAAAAAGCGGTTTGACCAGGGCCTTTGACAAATTTAATCCCACATCTTGAGTCCACGTAAAATGACTACCAGGAACTGCCGATCTCTTCTCTCGGAGACCGTGAAATCAAATCTCGGGCGGGCCGAACTTTCGGAAATTCACGCATAATGCATGCAAATCGTATTCTCGCGAGTAGATGGAGAAAAAAGAGAAAATAAGAAAGAATAAGAGAGTAAAAGAGAGAGAGAGAGAGAGAGAGAGAGAGAGAGAGAAAAGATGGTGTAAGGGATGTGTGAGGGGGAGGGGGTTAAGACATCGCATAAAGAAGCTGTACGAGGACGAGAATTCTTTCTATCTTCTTTCTTCGATCTTTTTTCTTATTTTTTCTTTTTCTTTTTTTTTTTCTTTCTTTCCTTGACGATATGACTTCAACGAAGAGGAATATTTAAAATCTCTCTCTCTCTCTCTCTCTCTCTCTCTCTCTCTCTCTCTCTCTCTCTCTCTCTCTTCCTCGCGCGAAATACAATAATAACGAAAGAAAGAAGGAAGGAAAAAGTATAACAGAGGAATGGTGAAAAAATGAAGAAAAAAAAAACCAAAAAAAAACAACGATCAAAAAAAAAAGAGAAGAAGCAAAAGAAAGGAAAATGTGAGTATAAAAGGAAAATAGACGGAGAAAAAGAAGGGGGTGATGGTGGTGGGGTGGTGGGGGGAGGGAACAGTGAAAGAATGAAGAGAAAGGAAAAAAAATACAAAAATGAAGAAAAAAAAGGAAAAGAAGAAAATAAGAAAAGAAAGAAAAACGAAAGTATAAAAAGAAAAAAAACGGATGAAAACAAACAAGGCGAAGGAATGGAAGGGGATTGGAGGAGGACGGGAGCTGAAAACGTAGGATCGAGAATTATACGAGATTAGATTTATACGAGATAAATTTTGCAAATTCGTTTTCGCTCGGACGTATGTACATAAATAATACGAAAAAGAAAGAAGAAATAGAAATGAAAAGAAAGAAGGAGGATTATTCACGAAAGCATATATTCTTGGAGAATGTGTACATACGTGCATACACATACAAATGTGTGTATCTGTGTGTATTTATACATATATATGTATATAGATCATGGATCGTACACCCTAGTGTAAAGCCGAATGAAAAAAAATCCATATAAGTCTTCCTGTGTAATGGACCATGCGCGCGCCATCATTTCTCCTAGCTCGACTTAATAATAGTATAGCTACGAGCAATTTCCATTTCTATTTCTATTTCTCTTTCTCTTTCTATCTATCTATCTATCTATCTATCTATCTATCTATCTATCTTACAAAAACGATTTCTTTTCCCTACATATTGGAAGAGTCCGAGTAATGTCGTAACAGCCGAATCCCATCGGTTGAGCATTTCGCGAAGGAAGTAACGTAACGCGCGAACGGATAATCAAAAGTTGCACACGGTCCATGTCGAACAGCAATAAAGATAAACTCAAATGTTCGTATATAAAAACTATAAAGAACCGAAAGGACCTACGCCCGTTCGAATTCGTTGAAGACAAGTTTATCGAGACTTTTTACGAGTTGGAAGAAAAAGGATACTTATACTCTATCTCTATCTTTCTCTCTCTTTCTCTTTCTCTCTCTCTCTCTCTCTCTCTTCCGCTTATCTTTATAAAAAAAAAAAAAAAAAAAAAAAAAAAAAAAATGAAAAGAAAAAAGAAAAAGAAATATATACATATATATATATATATATATTCATCTCCTTTATCATCTTCTCTGAAGCTGAAGCTGAGAATCGAGTTGTTTCGTCTGCAAGTACATATATACATATATATATATATATATATATATATATATAGATATATTATACATAAGATGATATTTTATTGATCTATGAGCGAGAGAGAGAGAGAGAGAGAGAGAGAGAGAGAGAGATTATATCGGATCTTTCTCTTTTTCTCTCTCTCTCTCTCTTTTTCGCTCTCTTTATCGAGAAAAGAAAGCGGAAGCTCGTCCTTAAAATTGCTTCTAGAATGGGGAACAACGACAAAAGATTCGTAGCAAGCGTTATGTTCTCGAAACGACAAGTCCAATGGAAGTGACGACAATGGCACCCTGCGTGGTCGCGTGCGTTCATTTTCTATCTCTATCTCACCCTATCTCTCTCTCTCTCTCTCTCTCTCTCTCTCTCTTTCTGTATTCTGTTTCGTTTTCTCTTTCTCTATAAGGACATGGACGCGGAACTGACT